ATGTTTTAATGTTTTTAGCGAGAAATACGGTACCGTTAGGAGTGGAAACGAAGAATACGGGGGAATAGCCACTATTTTTGAAAAAGAGTTGTTTGCTTTTTAACTTTTTATTTTCGGTGATTATTTTAGCTAATTTTGAAATTTTGAATGATACCACTACTATCAAAATAAAGATGAAATACATTTATATTATATATGATTTAATAATAATTTTTTAATAAAAACAAAAAATTATAAATTTAAATCACATCATATCATATCTTAATAGCGTGAGTTTGAAGTGGGGATAGAGCTTATACTACTCAAAATAAATAGTAGAAGAAGTGGACATCCTTGTTATTAATTAGGTAGGGTATGATGTCCATTTCATTATAACTACCTATAATTACACCAAAAAGTAAAAAAGAAAGTGATTTTTTTTATTTTGGTTGTACATAAAAAAAAATAATTATTTTTTATTTTTTATCCTATCTCACTCACATGTCATATATTTTAAATTTAAAATCTTTTACTTCTAAAAAAAAAAACCTATTGTTCAAATTTAAGATCTTTTTACTTCTAAAAAAAAAAAAACCTATTGAACTTAAATTGTTGACAAAAAAAAAAAGGGAAATTTAGACTTGAATAGAAAAAACATGATAGCGTAATCAAAGGAAAATATGTTTTAACGCGATCGAACGGAGCATGACTAAATTTCATGCATGTCTCTGTGTCCCAGTAAATCCGGCATGGTCGCCGGTGAGTGGTCATCTTCTCTAGCTGGGGGAGTTGACTATATATTGGTGTTTGCATTTTTAACCGCTCTCCTTCACCGGAACATGTGATGTGATCATCAGATAAGCAGCTGTTTCCAACAATTTCTCCAGATTAAACTTTTATTAGTACCATATGAATGTTACAACATCATCTAATGACTACTGCCCAGTGTCAACTGGTTGCTTGTCAAAGAATGCTGCGTATAAAATTCACAAATATTTATTGGGAATATTAAAGTATGGTAGCAGAGGGAAATCAATTCCCGAGTAAGAAAACAGAATCCAGCCAGTAATTTACTAAATGCCTGGACGGTGGACCCATGTCTAATGCTGCTTCAAAATCAATTTTTTAATTGAAAAAATACTGTTGAAACAAGGACTGTTTATGAGATTGCAGCCAGACCTGTGTATGTGATGAAACTAGTAATTTCAAAGCAATTACTGGGATCAACGAGGGATTAGATCAAGTGATAAACGGCTTGGTCTAGTTTAAGTAAGGTCTCGAGTTCGAAATCTTGTGAACGCAGCAGCTTTCGGTGGGAGACTCATCTACCATTTTCAGGTGCATGACGCGGGTCGAGTCCGGATTAATCGGGGCGAAGCCCTAGATATCGGATGAAAAACCGAAAAAAAAGCAATTACTGGGGAAGGGGAATGGTAAACATGAGCCCCTTCCCACCCTTGTTGGGGAGTTAGTGCCACTTGCTCTACCCAGTGTCTGGCAAAACCAGTAAATTTGATGAAGATGTTGCATGAGGGCTTCGAAAAAGACACTTTGTCAGAGTTATAGGTAGAAAAATGGAGAGGCATTAAGTACTGGCCATTTTCTCATTCAGTCATGAGTCACCCCCGTGAGCAGCAGTTATTGCCTTTGATTAAATTCGAGTTAGGTTGGGTTCATAATTTCATTCTACAACAATGGACCACGACCATGTTTTATTTTTCATTTTCTGAACCCTAGTGCTAGCAAGTTTATTTTTCCATTTTCGTTTGTTACGACTGACAAGTGAATAAACCTGTACGGTTTGTGAATATGTTAGACGGGGAACAGGCACGATTTGGAAGGGAAGATCAGATGTCAATTTATGCCATTTTTTAGTTCATATAAACTTCATACACGCAACTTTTGTAAGATTTAATTTATATCATGTGATGATAAGTTATTTTCTTCCTTATACGAACAAAAGATTCTAAGAACAAATCGATGCGACAAGAAAAATACTCAACCAATTTCAGATTACAATGTAGATGTATGGTTTTCATTTCAAGGCCTACATCAACCAAATATTATAAAGAAAAAATTGGATTGGTCCTGAGAGGCTGTTTTAGAAGTTGTAACATCTTGGTCTAATAACTAACTAATGGGTACATTTCCCCTGAGTTTTCGAGTCAACAATCAATTTAAAACATAATTGGCACATTGTGACATGGCTACACGGTCATGCTTACGCAGGTTACTCACATTCGGAGAGAACCAGAAGACAGGTAGGTAAACAGAAATGACTGGCAATTTTGGTTGTTCCAAAACAGAATTCATATGCAGCTACTCCCCCATCCCAAATCAATGCTTCCAACTAAAAAATTTCAGCATCATATACACATGGCTTTTTTTTTTTTTTTTTTTCTTTTTTTTTTTTTTGTTCTTGGTACACAGCATTATATACACATGGCTGTAGTAATGGCTTTAGGTCGACCAATTTGAGCACTGCTTTTGTGGTCCAAACGGAACAGAGAGCAAAAAGGAATGGGTTCCACGGTTGTTCAACCATAAAGTGGGTGGAAATAAGTTACCTAGCAGCAATCTGAGATAGTTAGAAATGCTGATATTAACTTCATCAGATTTGACATGAAAGGTTGTCTTACTTAAATGACCAATAGAACTTTCTGTCTAATCAGGAAACTACACTACAGGCCCAAAAAATGAAAAAAGAAAAAGAAAAAGAGAAACTAGGCTTTTCTACAAAGGTTTTTCTACATCAAAGCATATTAGAAGCAGCTATACCATAGGCAATCAACAGCCCAGCCAACAGTCATAAAGGGGTAATCTACAGAATGGTACATGAAATGATAATTGATAAATATGGCTAACTTTACAGCTAAAACTTGTACATGTAACTTATGGCTCCTCAACATTGAACAAAAGCTGACTTCATTCCTTTTTCCCACTCCCTGATAATTAAGCTGATTTACCTCTACCTTGCTGCTGAGTTCTCAAAGTAAGCAGTTATTGCCTTCAATTTGCCATTCAAGAAGTTCTTCTCAATCTGAGACCATGGAAATTTGCAGTTAGCAATAATATATGAAATAATTAATCAGAAATCAAAATGAGAAAAAAATAGCTGAGCGAGGAATTTAGAGGGACCACGCCACCCTACTCCCCCCACCAAAGTTAAGCTGATAAATTTCTCGAGCTTACCTCTAATGACCATGGAGGCTGTGCAGATAGAGACAATTCAGCCAATTGGTTGAGATCAACATTTCTTGGGAGAAACATGACAATGTGGCAGGCAACTTCCTTTGCAACATTAAACAGAAAATATCTACACAAGTGCAACCCAAACACCATGGAATTAAGAAAACCCAAAATAAGAGCCACAAATTTTACTAACATAAAGCAAGATCTTTTAGCAGCAAAAGGTTTCAAGAGTAAGTACCCATCATGAGGCTTAAGCATTGTCTTGATGTCATATGTATTTACTTTCACATAATCAGGACCCCCCCAAGGTGGTGATAAGAAGATTGTGTCTGCCTAAGGGACAGGAAATATTGACACCAGAGAAAATTAGAGAATATCTCAAAAAGAAAAAGAAAAAAAAAAAAGAAAAAAGAAAAAAAAGAAAGTGTAAAGCGTCAAGGAAACATATCCAAAACTTTAGGTATTAAGTTACAGCTAATAGAGAGTTCAAAACAAAACATCATTCTTGGAATTTTCCAGTCACTGTGTAATAAATAAAAAATTATAATAAGGCCATTTACAGACAACTAATAAAAGAGGAATGAACCTTCAAATATTCTTCCAAGTGCTAGTTAGTTAAAACACCCACCAGAATGCTAGTGGAATGGTGTCAAGCTTCAGTTGCACTTTGTTAGAACTTGGTATACCTTCAGCTAGGCCTAGGATAATTCTTAGCCATGGACAAGCAAATTAAGAAACCAAAACTTGTCAATAGATGTAGACCAGGTTAGTACCTTCAATTTAGGTGCCAAGAGGAAAAAGTCTCCCTTTATGAAATCTATCCGGTCATCAACTCCATACACAGCAGCATTATGATATGCATAATCAATCTTCTTTGGATCAATATCAATTGCAATAACATGTGCACTCCTAAACAATCACATGACACAACAAATTAATTACAATATGAAAATGGGGATTAAATTTGCAACTGAGAAAATGATAAATACCACTAAGTCACTAACACGTTATTCATATGAGATGGATAATATAAATATAATGGTAATAGCACTAAAATGAGTCCCAAAAATTAACATGGAAGACTTGACACGATGAAAAATATTCACAAGAGTCAGGGTGGCGCTCACCTCTGTGCAAATTGAATAGCATTCCCTCCAACTCCAGTAAAAGAGTCAATTATGATCCCACTCCCACAACGGGATGCATGATGCCTTGCTATAGATTCTGGTGTAACAGAAAACCACCCTTCTTCATCCATTCTTATACCACCATCAAATCTGGAGAATAAAAGGTACCTCTGCCACCAATATTTGCCAATGTTGGCAGAATACTGCTCAAGCATCCCTTGAAAATGGAGCCCCATAATGGAATTCAACAACTCAGGAAAATTAATCAAAAATGAAATGAACTTTAGCAAAAAATAACACTGTATTATCACCAGCAATCTAAAGCATGCTGGTGACTTTTCTACACAAACAGAAATGGAAAAAATTGAGTTACATATTTCTCTTTTCCATGGTGGGTGGATGTCAAAGGCATGTGCCCCTCATCAACCCATAAAGCATGCTGAAGCAACTGACTAAGGCTTTTTCTTGTGTGGCTTACATCAAAGATATACACAATTTAGGAAAGAATTGATTAAGAACTATTTAGCATGTTTGAGTGAACGTAAAAGTTTGAGTTATCAGAATTATGGACCAGCACAAAACAAAGGCATTTGATGAGTCAGATCATTTAGATACTAAAACATGCAAGTGGCCAATGGCAGCATTGGTTGGAAAAAGAACTTTTTGCTTTCTTGAGGTTTAAAAAAAAAAAGAGAACTTAGGATATAGATTATAGACCTTCATTGTCCTTGGATAATCTCCTCTGAGCTTTTGTTTTTCTTGTCCTCTTTTTTCTCATTACAGGGATACACTCTGTATCCAACTGATCTGTTAATGAAGCAACAGTTCCTGAACAGATATTATCACCCTCAGAAATCCATCCAGTAAGTTTCTTGGCTGAGCAGCTTGAGCTGCAAGCAAAACAACATGAAAACCAAATGGAAAATATATTCAAATAATGAGCACAGACAATCAATCTGACATTAAAATAATCAAGACCATGTTTCTTATAAATTCATCTACGGTCCAAAATAATGTAATATTTAAGTTTGTGTCTATAAAATCTATGTCACGAGACACTACTGCAGCAGACTTCATGATGACCTATTGCTTCAACCTCACCCACCCAATCATTACCAAGCATGAAATAGCAAATTTGGCTTTCACAAAATAAGATGTTGCTAGAAAAACCTGACAAGAACTACCATATTTTCCATCATAAAGAAGAAAAAGAAAGAACTGCCATATGTTTAAGTTAAAACTGATATGGTATATGTTCAAAGATGACTTGCCTGCCTATACAATCCTGAGCATCCAAAACAATGCCTAACATAACTTCTTTGTTGCAACTTTCGATGATCCCAGAAAGCTCATCCAGTGGCTCAAAATCGTTGATTTCAGAAGGATTGATTACATTAGAAGCAGCAGCAGATCCAATCCCCATTGACAGCTGATTAGGTTTCTGCTCTTCTACTTGATCATCATAAATGGATGTCACAAGGGATTCAATACCTAGCTTAGTGGCAGAGTCATCAAATACTAGATGTTCCATGCCAGGGGGTGGGTCCCATGTGGAATCTTGAGTTCTGATATTGTAAAAGTAGTTTCTTGAGTAGAAAGAGTCCCAGTACACCTTCCAATCTCCAGATTCCCCATTATGGTACTGGTTGTCAGTTCCATCACAGTCAAGCAACTCTGAACTAGGGGAATCTGCAACTGATTCAGAAACTGGTGGCTGCTCGGTGTTGCCCTGAATGCAAATATTTTCATCCTTTTGAATATGGTAAGCCCCTGAGAAACCTTCAGCACGTTCATAATCCATCAAGCTTCTATTACATTCATTGTTGCACCGATCAGCCTCTGGCTCCATGAAACAGCATTCTGGAAAAAGTGTAGCCCTTAAACTAGTAGAGCACAATGCTATTTCCTCATCATCTTTGGATCCTACATCACTGTGCTGTCCATTGTCACAACCACAGATACTCTCAGACACTGGGTCAGAAGTTCCATCACATTTTTGTTCCCTGACAGTGACACAAGTAATTCCAGTTGAACTGGTTGAATTTCCTAGCTCAGCTGTCTGAGGGTCATTAACATCCACTGCAACATCATAGTAAGATAATTCACTTTGGCCCAGCATTGACATGCAACAAAAAGAACTGCTTGTTTTACCATGAGATATAGAAGGAGATGCAATCTCCGCTTCACTCACTCTGGAAATTTCTTGTGCTTCCTCTTGAGATTTCTTTTGACCAATAGAATTCTTCAGGTGTTCATTCTTCCCCTTACAACAGGCCTTTTTGCTCATCATCTGCATTAATATAAACCTCATCTATAGATCTCCAAAAAAAGATAATAACAATAATGCAAATGAAAATAGAGCCTTCCAAATTGCATGGAATTCAAAACAGGCCCTGACAAACTGTAGGAATTGCTCCCCTACCTAGCATGCCGTGTTTTTGTATTTGTATTGCAATTATCCATGAGGGAAGAGTGAAGTAAAAGGGAATAACTGACAAGTAGAGCATATCAGTAGCTTCAACCCTATTAAAAACTATTGTCCCTAGTTATCTCCTTTAGTATACAATGAATTGATCAAATATGCATTGACAAACCTGGAATCCTATTCTTTGGCAAAATTCCACAAAGACAAACAGAAGATGAGAATTTAAACATACCTCCTTGTTAGAGTTGAAGGAAAAGGGAAGGCCCAATGCATTCATTTCTTTTGCCAGCTCTACATCCTCTGCTGAGAAGCTAAAATCTGAATTTGCGAGGAAAAAAGACCAGATTGTCAAATCACTTGAAACGCACAACATCATCAGATATTCTTACACAGCTAATATGCAGTCACCAGATAATTTTCAGAACCACATAAGCTTAGCTGCTGAAGAAAACTAAGGCAACCACAAACAATTTCAAATTCAACAAAATAAATAAAACAAAAATTTACACAGAGCACTTGCCGCTACTTGTGCGAGAGATATCTGAGCCGATACCACCATCCTCCCGAGACGATTTCTGTGTTTCAAAAACATGAAGACAGATTAGAAGAAAAAAATGAACAGATTAGAGAGCAATACCACTGGAACGAATCCAGAAAACTCACATTGCGCTCCGGTAACCGTGCAGCTACTCGAGTCTCCATCGAAGTATCATCCCTGCAAAGTAAAAGGTTGAGCAATTTCCCTTATCGTTCTCAGTGCTATTAGAGCAGAAGCAAGTAGAGAGGGTATAGAAATAGGCACACCATAAGTGGACTTCGGTGAGTTTGAAGAGAGAACCTAGAGCTTTTATTGCAGGAGCTTCGCTTTCCACTTCAACTCTGTCCATCTTCGGACCGGAATCTTGTACTCAATTTGACCGCCGAGGAGATCTCTGTCCCAACTCCCAAGTCTTAACTCCGCTGCGCTTTTGCGAGGGACACCGGTCTGCTTTTCAAGTAAGCGACTTAAACAAAAACGGAGTCGAAACGGTGTCGTATTCTATGGGAAATGAGCAAACTACACTTGCCCGCTAAACTCTTACAATATTTTAATTATAGTCCCCGTATTAACCAACTTACTCTTCCCATACTTTCTTATTTTAAAGTTTTTTTTCTAATTTGTATATTTAAAGTGCATTTATTAAACCTTTTTATTATTAATTTGTATAAAAAAATATATAAAAGTAAACTTTATTTTAACTACCAATGTTACAGAGAATACTTTAATTAAATAATTGATAAAACTAATATTAACTTTTTTTATACAAATTAATAATAAATATACAATAGATGCACCCTTAATTTGTGTTCTAATAACACAAGTTAAACAGATATTCCTTATTTTAAATATTGTAGATATCCTTAAAATTGAGGAAAAAAGTTAACTAGGGAACATAAACATTAATTCTCTACTCTTTATTAGATAGACTTACACTTGTAAATATGGTAGTTACAAATTTTAGCTCTTTTTATTTATTGGTGTGTACAATTTTTAGCTCTCTCTCTTTTATTTATTTATTTTAACCTAAAGAATCTCAATTGAGTATTTATAAAAAAATAATAATAATTTTAAATTTGTTGAGAAAGAGCCCAACATTCAATCTGGGCCATACATAGCAGGTCCGGTTGCATATCCATAAGCCCAAAATGAAGAGACATCCATACACTAGTACAGACGTATCCACGTAGGTAGTAACATGTGAACCAATCTGATGGTCATACATATAGGCTCATATCAGTATACGGGGTTATAAATACCCCCAATTACTTCCACCAAAAGTATTAACTCCACTACACTTCTCTCTCTGCAATTACTCATTGAGAGTTTCTCTTTCTTAAATATTAAATATTGCTGACTTGAATGTCGGAGTGTTTTCCCCAAAGAAACATTCTCGAAATTTTCAGGTGTTGAAGTAATTGAAGATATCTGCAGTGCAGGATTGTGAAGCTACCCAAACAAAATTCTTCTCCCTTTCTTTTTTCTATAACAATTCGTCTTTCTTTTTCAGATTTTCATATACTTCTTCATGTTAAAAGTACATGGTCGACAAAAAAATATTAACATGAAAACTTAAATAAATTAACAACATTTCTATATTTCATATGAAATTTTTTTTATTAAAGTTGAAAAGATTTTCATTTTTAACTTAAACTAACAATTATTACGTTACACTACTTGTAAGTTAAGAGGGAAAAAGAGGACGGGCCAATCTCAACCCCGGTGCATACCACCCGAAGGGATCAAAGTGGTTTAACCACTTGCGTTACCAAGTGGTTAGCTCAGAGGTGTACTTAATAATAACTTATTATTTTAGGTCCAAAAAGAAAAATTTTTAAAGTTCGAGGACGAAAATGTGAGTTTTTCCTTCATAAAATGCAATAGCAACAATGCCCTTCAAGAACCAGAGGGCACGACGACGTTTGTTGAATATACCTTTTGGTCGAAGCGGCAGTAACACACTAGACACTGAAGAAGGAAAACATGGAGGACGGGGAGATGGAGGAAGAAATGGTGGAAGAAGAAAGAGAGCAGGTGGCGCCACCGACCAAGGTGGAGAAATCTCCGCACGACATGCTGAAGGAGAGCAAGGCGTCGGTAGAGGAGATCGTCGCCAAGATCCTCTCCATCAAGAGAGAAAACAAGCCGAAATCGGAGCTCAGAGAACTCCTCACGCAAACCTTCCTTCACTTCGTCACTCTCCGTCAGGTTAGCACTCGCTCTCTCCTAAGTTTCTGTTTTTCATTTCGAAATTAAAAGAAAGTTAGCCTTTCTTCCTTTCTTTTTTTCTTTTTTTCTTTTTTTTTATTATTCTGGTTGTTGCAGGCAAATCGCACAATATTACTGGAGGAAGACATGGTAAAAGTGGAGACAGAAAAGGCGAAGGCGCAGGTGGATTTAACGACGCTGCAACTTCACAATTTGATGTACGAGAAGAGTCACTATGTAAAAGCTATTAAGGCTTGCAAGGACTTCAAGTCGAAATATCTTGATATTGAGCTTGTACCGGAAGAGGAATTTTTACGAGATGCACCTGAAGAGATTAAAGAGTCACATTTATCAAATGATAGCTCTCATAATTTGATGCTGAAAAGACTAAATTATGAGCTATTCCAGGTAACTATTCCATATTGATAAATTAAATCTCTTTTCAATTTTTCCAGTTGTTCTAGTGATTCTCCATTTCCCCAGGGAAATTGGGGATATTGATAAAAATTATTTTAAGCAATGTACTCTGGACTTTCAATTATTAGTATCAAAGGCCATTGTGCAAGGGAGGTAAGGCATACATGGAAGGAGGGGGGGATTATCCATGTTAGCTGCAGAAACACAGTCCTAAATGTCTTTTCTTTTTTACTCTTTTATAAGTCTTGGTTTTCTTCTAGGTAAAAAGTTGGATTCTATTGAAGAACCTCAGTTAGTTTTTGTGTTGTTCCTTCTTACATCGCTGTCTCTGTGAGGATACATAGGATTAGAAGTACTAATGTGTTATCACTAACAGCGCAAAGAACTGTGCAAGCTTCTTGAGAAGCTGGAGCAATGTAAGAAAGGTCTTCTGGAGACCATAGCAAATCGAAAGAAGTTCCTGTCAAGTCTCCCCTCTCATCTCAAGTCTCTTAAGAAAGCATCATTACCAGTACAGAATCAATTAGGAGTTCAGCATACTAAAAAATTCAAGCAGCACCATTCAGCTGAGCTGCTTCCACCTCCTCTGTATGTGATTTACTCCCAGTTTTTGGCCCAGAAGGAGGCATTTGGGGAAGAAGTTGACTTGGACATAGTGGGAAGTGTGAAAGATGCTCAAGCTTTTGCTTGCCAGCAAGCAAATAAGGACAACGGTGAGGGTTTATTCTTCTTTATGCCCACATCAAGTTATTCATTTTCTTTTATATGGTTCCTTTTGGGTGGCACTCATGGTGCTAGTCATGGACGAGTTGGCTAGTTTGGGAACTATAATGATGACTTGCTTAGATTTGACCATTTACTAGACTTTAATTCTCATGAAAATCAATAAAGGATGCTGAATTTTATTGGTTGCTCAGAATTATCCACCAATGTTGAGAACTCAAAGTTGGAGGATGATGCACTCGATGAGGAAGATGACGGACAGAGAAGGAGAAAAAGGTCAAAGAGAGTTCCAAGCAAGGACATCCTTGACCCGATGGGATTATATCAAGTTCACCCCCTGAAAATCACTCTCCATGTTTATGATGATGATGCCTCTGATCCCAAAACTGCAAAACTCATCAGTCTGAAGTTTGAGTACATGTTAAAGTTGAATGTTGTATGTGTTGGAATTGAAGGGTCAAATGAAGGGCCTGAGAACAATATCCTTTGCAACTTATTTCCAGATGATACTGGCCTTGATCTTCCTCACCAGGTATTAATTTCTTCTTCTAATTTTTTCTTCTTCTTCTTACCCCTCTTCTTGTCCACATTCAATTTTAATGTAATAATGACTTCTTTATGTAATTGCAGTCAGCAAAGCTCTTTGTTGGCAATGCATTTGTGTTTGATGAGAGGAGAACTTCACGCCCATATAAGTGGGTCCAACATTTGGCAGGAATTGATTTCTTGCCAGAAGTCTCACCATTGCTTACCAACCATGAAACTCAAAGCAGTGAAACCAAAAGTGACTCTGTTATTTCTGGTCTTGCACTGTACCACCAGCAGAATCGAGTGCAGACAGTGGTGCAAAGAATCCGTGCACAGAGAAAAGCTCAGCTGGCTCTTGTGTGAGTCAATGACCTGAATGTTAGATGTTTGA